CCTCCTGGCTTCTTTTGCCACAATACTTAAGAGCTTTGTAGCTCATTCTCCCCTGTTTTCCATGATTGCATTTTGGGATCGGTCCTAGTGTACTGTGGAATGGGTAGTTCTTTCAAGGTTCTGTCCTTCTGCTTTCAAAGCCAGGCGATGGAGGAATCCTGATTTTATGCACCCTTCTAATCTGTTGTACTGACTGGATGGTAAAACTGAAACCTGTGGGGAAAGTAAAATAAAGCTTTTAATAGAATTTTGCATAAATAGAAATGTTATCTCCAAAGAATCTGTGCATAGTTTTGATACTTCTTGATGGTAAGTTTCTAAGTTATTTACTGTTGAGAAACTAATTTAACTCAGTTGTAAAGTACTCAAGGATGCTGCTTGACCTAAGGAAGGTGTTTCGGTGACAGTACAGAAACAACTGAAGATTTAGTTGTTTGCTTTTTCAATGGCACACTGTTTTGGGTGTTTCTTTTGTTATTTTGCCCATTCTACATATTTGTTAGTATTTTAAAACTGCTTGCATTTGATCAGGGTCAGAAGAGGCTCATTGTCTTAAATACCTCATGTACAGCTATGGCTAGCAGTAGTGAGGCTGTTTTGGTGGAGAAATGGTTTGACAGTGAGGCTGAGGTGAGCAAGGAAGAGAAGAGTTTCCCTGTGCAATGATATACCCATCTCCTTCCTGTGAATTTCGGTTAGCAGTGCTACCTCTTTCAGAGCTACTGGGAGTGAGTCTGAAGGAGCTGGGGAAGGCTAGATCACAGCTGGCAGAGGCACACAGGATGAAAGAGTGGGAGTAAATACTCACACTCAGGGTTATAATCTCCATCTGAGTCTTCCTGCCACTGGCTCTAAGATGAAGGTGAGTGGGAAAATGGTGGAGCAAGAATGATTTACAGTGTAAACAGTTTGGCAAATGGCAATGACCCCCAGTGAGGTAAGGAAGTACAAATCTACCCTTTGACAAAAGTGCTTCTTCCTGCTTCACTCTGCAGGTCTTGGCCTTTGGGAAAGGTGGAGTACTGCATAAGGAAATTCACACAGCTTGGGTTCTCATACTTGGTTGTCTTGTTTGTGGTCTCCTTCCTTACTTCTACTGTGTCATCCATGTCACTGTCAATCAACAGCTCTCGTGACTTTGATGAAAGCTTCTTTGTTGATGTTTCTGTGAGTTGTACAGATACTAGGGTACAGATGATGGTGTGTGGTGTGGGCGGTTGATGTCCATATTACTGGCAAGTCTAGACCCCGTGTAGTGCTAGGACCCAAAGATATTGAAAACCAAATAGTTATTCACCTTTTTAAAGGTATTTTGAACTTAAAAAGACCCAGTCCTACAGAGTGACAGGGTATAAGTACATTCTTCTTGACATCTGTACCGGTCACTTTCTTAATCAAACTTAGCTCTCATTCAGAAAAAGAAAAAAGGAACAAAAAACCAGATCTTATGTGAATTAGATTTTGTCTTTAATCTGTTTTGCAGAGTTTCACACTTGCAAAAAGAGCATAATATCTCCCACAAACAATATGATTTTATAAAGGTATATCAGGTAATGGTATTAAAGAATTCAAATAATGTTGTGAAAAGAAGCATGAAAAGTTAATACAAAAATTAATAATTTGTCTTCAAATCGAAATATGAATAGTGTGAAGTAATGAAGGACTAAGGTCACAGAATGGAAGTGAAGGATAGAACATAGATGCAATATTGAGGTTACTGAGTAAATTTTTACATCCTTCATAAAACATGATGTATGATCCTGTAATGAAAGACTGTAAGAAATACACACACTAGGGAGCTGACCTAATGTTCTTGACTTTAATGCTCTTAAGTTTTGCAAGCTCATAACATTCTTTAATGGAGATATTTTTGTTGTGCTATTACATAATGAGAAATACTCTTCACATAGCTTATTACAAATAGATACTGTGAAGGACTGGATAAATTTTGAACCTGAAATGAGAAATATGGGAACATGGTATTTGGTATTTGTAGAGTTATTGATATCTTTTCCAGATAATTCCATATTAAATGCAGCATAACTTCTATATCTGATAGGGAAAAGATGAAGAAAGTAAATGCAAACTATTTTTAAGCACTTTTCTTAGTATCCATTTATCCAATATTACCAGCACATTTAACAAAATGTAATCAAACCAAGCCTGTAACTGCCAAAAAGCAGCATATCTTTTTCAGACTGACTGTTTAATGGATCCATATAACAGCTATAGTCTTGCCCCAATAAGTCTGGAATAGTGGTGATATCTAAGATTAAAACCAATAGAAAACAGCCTTTCAACACTTTAGAATACTAGTTGTATGAAAATGAAGTTGTGTATTACACAAATAGATTTTGTTTAAATCTATGTTTATCTCACAGACAGTAAAGTTGGAAGAATCTCTCAAGAAAGTAACACAACAAATACATCAGATACAATGGTAAGAGGTTTAATGCGGCAAAAGTAAATGAGAAATAGTCTTTGAAATCAGACAACAGTAAGTTTAATTGATAAAACAGTAGAAAAGTCATGCTTTGTTTGCCTTTCTCATATATTGTGTTGTTTAAATAGAAGAATCATATTTTTACAGAAATAAATGAACAGTGGTTTCTGTCATCAGGTCCATTTTCTTCATGTTAGACAAGCCTGTCAGGAAAGAATCCTTTTATTTTTAAATTCAAGTCAGTAGTTACTCTAGAAATGAACTTTTAGCAATTTCCATCATATAGATACTCAGTTTCAAAAAAATTTATTTACATTTACATGAACATGTTTGTGTTTTTTTTCAATGGGCTTTGCAGCATCAGCCCGGAAGTAGTAAGATACTTTTCCTAGTATCTAGCCCATTCTCAAAATGACCAGAATTTTGTAACACGATTCTCATCCTCTCTGTTTCTAGTAAAAATCAACTTTTTGACTCATCTTAAATTAGTCCTTTTCCACAAATGCTTCAAAAAGACAGTCAAGAGGTAGCTCATCATTATCCCACTACTCATTGATTGATACACCTTAATCTTTTAATCTTTTTTATTTCCAACTTAAATCCAGAGTTTTTATTGATCCGTAAGTGCACTCTGTGCTATTACTTTTAATTTAATTAAATTTTATTTCAGTTATTTGTTTGAAAATATCACATTTTTAAAATCATTATGTAGTTCTCAATATTGATGTAACCTTCTATCTTCAGAACTTTCTGTCTTCAAATTTCACAAGCTATGGGCTATCCCTGAGTCATCAAGGAGTGTATTAAACAGGATCCGTTGCAAGACTAAACTGAAGGGGGCATCACTAATAACATTTCTGCACTTTCTTCTCTGTTCTTTATTGCTGTTTCCCTTTCAACATTATTTACTGTCTACTTATCTGAATTAATCAGTCTTATCTCTTCTATAAAGTCCATGTGGCCTATACAGCACCCTAATATTTAAATTGAATAGGTACAGAAAAAATGTACTATCTTACTACTGTTTAAAAATCTGCTTACCAGAACATAGAACAAACCCCAAAACATATAAGATTGATCTACGCTGATCCACCTATGGTGAAATTATTTCGTTTTCCATGTAACATTTGTTTCTATGTCCTATGTTATCGTTCTCATTTGCTAAGATTTCAAAAAGTACTGGGAAAAAAACCTAACAAGTTTGATCTGCTTTTCCCTTTTACTGAATATAGGTATTAAGAGTACTTAGTGTATAGTTAAGGTGCTTCTCCGTATAGATCCATCTTCTTGTGAATATGGGTATTAAGAGTACTTAGTGTATAGTTACAATGTACTTCTCCCTATGGATCCGTCTTCTTGAGAGAAGCCCTTCATGAATGTCATTTTATGAATACCAGTGATCAAGGATGCTGAAATCTCCTTAATAAGCCAATTCATGAAGCCAGCAATTTAATTGCAAAATTTTGTTGATCTTTATCCTTTTTTTCTGTGTTTTTCCAGTATAGACTTTCTTTTGACTCTGATGTGCACCTAATACTGCATTATGCTCTCTTATTCTGCTTGATGTAATATAACTGAATGAGAAACAGTATAAAGGAAACTATGTATGTGGTGGATTATCATACTTTATATATTTTTATCCACTGCCTCCTTTTTCTTGTCTACATCTCAAATAAATACCATCTTGGTTATACCAAATACAGAGTTCTTACTGAATTTCAGATTTTTCAGAATCCTACCAAAAGCGTGTGACCTAGAGCTTCTCTTTGCATGCCCAGTAGACATATGCCTTCAATTTATGGTTAGTCATAAACGTATCAGTTTTGCATAGCTGTTAGTGAAAAGCACAAATATGCCAACATTTTTTTTTGATAAATAGATGTTTTAAAGTTTGGGAAAGGTATACATTGAAATTAAGATTTTTGGCTTAAATGTAGTTAATAATTGTTTTAACATCTGTTGTTCCATAAAGTACTTCGTCATAACGTTGTCCTAAATTGATATTGTTGGGCATGAAATGACTGATACAGACGTTATGATATAGAGAAGAAGTAGTTAATGGCTTATCAAGTAGATTGTTATTTTGCTTCATGGCAAATAGTGTCATGTTAAAACCAGCTATTGACAGATAAAACACCTTGATTTTACGCTTTATTGACTTGCTAGACAAATGAACTAACCAAACTAGCTTTCAATTTATATCTGTTGTTTCTTCTGTTTCTCCTTTAGTTTGAAACCTCCTGAACAAACTACACAACTACCATTTTCCAATACAAGCAGAAATCCACCTTCCAGTAAGAAGCGTTTGTTTAAGATACTAACTATGGAATATATGTCACTGGATATAGCTGTGTTCTAATACTAAATTTATTAATGACTTTAGTTCCTTCAAGAAAACAGATTGGTTATTCTTCATGTTCCCTTCATCCTAGTCATCCATCCACTTCTGAAATGTAGGTACAAATCTGTTAATTTTCAAAGAAAATATTAACAGTGGTGACATGCTGATGTTTTATACATGAAACCATTCTTTTTGTTGTGAGTTTAAAATAAAGATATTTTCTTATTTTGTTTCTGCAAACTGTGTACATATGAAAGAACTGGGGATTGTCTTATCTATCCATGTGTAAATAATAACTACTTGTATAGATTGCCTTTGTACTCACTGGAAAAAATTCTAAGACACGATGCAGCTTATTCTAAAGACTTTCTGGATGTATAGATTGATTAATTACTGAGGAACTCTTCCCATTGACTGTAGGGAAAAACTAAATGATTTGTACAGACACCTATATGTACATTGTACTTGTCTAAAGTTGGATAGGATGAACTCCAGTAAGGCTCATTAAACTTTAAATAGATTGAACATACAGCTTGCTCAAGCTAAAAGATTTCTATACCTGTGACTATGACTTCATAAAAAATAAAATTTCAGAATGCCCTTGTGGAGACAAATGACAAATATTTAAATATGCATATTTATTCTGACTTAAATACAACAATAACAATGCTAATTATAAAATAACTTTCTCTGTAAATGTCTAAACCAAAGCTCAAAATCAATATATTTTTCTTACTGCTAGTGGGTTTTGGAACAAGTCCTAAATACTCATATGTATTATGTATTATGCATTATGTTTTTCCAGTATTAGTCAAATTTAACATAAGAATATAATGTAATTTTAGTCATTATAATGAATCTGTTATTTTTATTACAATGTCATACTTATTTTGACCTTTGTTGTAAGAATGGAGTCAATGGAGATTGATCCTGTACCTTCACCAATGAGGAAAGTAAGTAAGTTTTCTTGTACATATGTTTTTATATATATGTATACATACATATATATGCTTTTGATTTCTCCTGCTCTGCTAATAGTGCAAAAAATAGGATTCCCCTGCCCCCCATTCAAAATAATTTTTATGTGCAAGATGATTTCAGCTGTGCTTGATGCTTAGAAGTCAGATGCTCCCCAAAAAGGAACCAAAAGGAAATAAATTACAATAATGATTTCTGGAATTATGTTCTCCACATGCCTTATACAGGCTTTTAAAATTGTGATGCTAAATTAAATGGCAAATTCTTGAAATTTCAGTATGTTTATATTATAAAAATACTGCAACTGTTTCCAAGATAATTGTTGCTGATGCATGAAACTGAGAGTTGCAATTAAATGTAAGTTCTAATATATTAAGGAATGGAAATATATGTAAGACTTCCACCTTCACCAGACCTCATGTAGATGTCTGCAGTGCAGATCTACACTAGCATCTCAGGGTTTCCTTTATAACCTATGGATTGGTTATATCCATAGATAGACCTATGTCCATAGGTTTAACCTATGGAGTAGTATGTGTGATTCATCTCATTCTAAAGGAAACTTATTGGTCTCATTCCTGTTTCTGTTCCTTGACCGTAAAGGGAATTTCAGGAGATCAGGCTGGATATAAATACTGTCATTGAAGATGTCTGAAGTTACAAAAGGTCAATCACTGGGCACTCTTAAATTCACATCACACTGATTTTCAAAATATTCCTGAAGTTTCATTTATAATGGATGAAAAATTTGATGCTCAGAGGCATCAATGTGTGTATAGTATCTTCACAAGTTAAGAAAAAGCTAGGTATAGAAGTCAGTGGTCTGAGAGCAATGTTAGAACCTGATATTTGAGTAGGGAATTGCAAGCTTTGAATAACATCTCTGAGATGAGAATGAAGGCAGGAACTTTTCACTGTATTAGTATTCTGATTACGAGAGGTAACATCCAGGAACAGATGCTAGCTTAAGAATGGAATCTCAGCACAGAAAATGATGTGTCTGATATTTTTCTTATCTGAATGTGATAGAGAGGGCTTCTTGGAATAAAACTAAAATACAGGTACTTCGCCCACCTCCCCCCCTCTGTAGATCTCTAAAAAATAGTAACTCAATTCTTAGGTTTTGCATTTTAGCGCTATGAACAAAACTGACAGCAAAGAGCCACAAAAATCTGCAGGTTTTATAAAATTCCAAAACGTAACACTATAGCTTAAAATGCTTTAATAATTAACATACTTATTACACTGTAATTAATACTTTGCCATTCATTTAGCCTGAGACACCGACCGGTCCGACAAGATTATCATTAATAACTCCACCGCAAGATGGACGTATGGGTGAGTAAAAGTAAAGTTTGTAACTAGATAGCATTACAGTAAGAGGGTTAGTAAGTGAAAATTCGTACATTAGCAATTTATAGAGAAAACTTGAATTGTGTTGAGGTATAAGGAACTTATCAAGTAGATATCAATCCAGCAGATGGGAAATGGTTAAAAATGAAGAATGAAAGAAGTCTTCCTAGTACTGACCTAATCTGTTCTTGTAAATAGTTGCTTGTAACCAAAATTATTTTTGCTGACCGATCACAGTCAACAGTTGCAAAGAAAATACTGCAATGATGTGTATGGTTGAACAGAATAGGCATATTTGCAATATATGTTGTTGACCCTCTATTAACCTTCATAATTATTTGTTTATAATTACCAGAGATTAACGTTGTCCATAATGCCATGTTAAAAATCACATGAGGAAAAGA